CCGGGGGGCCGGGGGCACCCGGTGGGCGGGGGGACGCGTGGTGTTGGGGCTGGAGCCAAGTTGATCTGAGGCAGATGCTATGAAATGCCCCTAGTGTGGAGCTGCAGCACGCACGGACCTGCAGCATGAGGTTGCAACCAACACGTGTGGTAATCCACAACAAGCTTGTTTTGGGATCCAGGCACGCGGCGTGGAAACCCTGCAACATCAAGCGCACCCTGAGGAACTCTGGCCCGGTCCAGAAGTCGTTCTGGATGATGGGCCGCAGCTGCCAGGGCGCCCCTGTGGGGTTGGACAGCGTCACCGCCTTGGTGGTGCTGCCCCGCACGTTGCACCTGCCGGCCACAGGGGTGGGCGCGCCGGGGCACACCGTGCAGCCAAGGAGGGGTGAGGCCCGCAGGCGAAAAATAAGCAGCTGTGTTGATGGATTGGGTCACAGCGGGTTTTCCAGTTGCACCTTTGCCTGGTGCCTACACATCTGCCAGCTTCTTGCACTCAGCAGTGACCGACCACAGCACATAGACCACATTTTCCTTCAGGGAAGGCACTGCGAGCGCAGCTGGCAGGGGGGACTCATCAACAGTAGGAAAAGGGGTCCAAGCCTGCCCAGCACTACTGCATGGACAAAAATGCGCCCCGAGGCCGCGCACCTGAACACGACTGCGTCCGGATGGGCACTGGTGGCGCAGCACGCGCCAGTCAGGTTCAGCGTCAGCCCCAGGTCAGGCGCGCCGTCCACCCTTGGGGGGGGGGACAGCGGTGACGAGAAACGCGATTTGAAAACCCGCAGGGCGTGAAACACAGATAGCAGGTGGCCGTTGGCCAGGACGGGCGCCCGCCACGGCCCAAGCGCCGCGAGGGTGAGGGTCGTCGCCTCCGGCTGGCCGCGGCCCCCATCATTACCACCCTTACATTCATCCCAAACCCCCCTTTGCCCTCCGCCTGTTCTAACTTGCCACTGGCCTGGCTGAGACCCCAGCATTGCAGCCCCCGCCCCCTGTAGAGAGGCTGGCCTCACCTGCACCGCGCGCGCTCCACCCGAATGTCAGGGTCCACTGCCACCGGCTGGAACACCACCTCCAGCTTCACGTCCTGGCCCGGGGACAGGAATCCCTCTGCTCGTCACAGTGGCACAGTGGTTGGGGGTTTCGATGTTTTGGAGTGTGGGGTTTAGGGTGAGGGGACAGGAAACCCTCTGTACAACACCTTGGTTCGAGGGTTTGGGTGTTCAGGGGTGGGAGATGTGGGGTGTTGGCGCGTGCGGGGGGCCCCAGTGAGGTGGGGCCGGGGGCGGCCGCGGTGGTGGTGGTGGTAAGGCCAGCAGTGTGACAGAGACATACCTCGCCCCCATACCACGAGCGGTGGTTGGTGGCGGCTGCATGGCTTGCGGTTGAGCGACAGCAGCATTTGAGCAGAGGTGTTGGACGTACTCCGCATTACACGATCTCATCTCCGGGCGGCGACCATGCCGCCCCCCCCCCCTCCGACCAGCACCACGCTCACCAGACGGCACGATGGAGAAGTGCGGCGCCAGCGCCCTGGCATCCCAAGCAAAGCGCACGCCCACGTCGCCCGTGTTGCTCAGCGCCAGCCGCTTGCTGGTGCGGCCGCCCAGCACCACCGTGCCGAACGGCACGCTGTCGGACGCCAGCGTAAGCTCGCCCGCGGTGCAGGCGCCCTTGAGCGTCGCGAGGGCGAGGGGCACGCCGGCGGCCTCGCCCACCAGCTCCTCGCTGAACGGCCGCATGCGCTGCGTCGGCCTGGGGCGGCGGCGAGGTGGGGGTGCGTGCAAACATACGTCACATTGGGAATTGGCGTCGTGCGCCTGTTACGCAATCGTTAAGCCTGAGTGTTTTAGAGCTAGGGGCAAATTTGGCGAGTGAGAACACAGCTTGTGTCATTGTGAGTAAGGTTTGTATCAAGTACAAGAGCCACCTGCCAGCAAGCCAATGCACAACCCCCAAAGTCCACAACTGCAGATGCGCCAAAAGCGCTTGCCTGTAGAAGAGCGTGACGCTCGCCTCCTCCCTCGGCCGCAGCACCACCGGCGCCGCCGGCAGCGCCTCGATCCCCAGCCGCTCCAGCAGCTCCCGCGCCGGCCCCAGGCTGAGCAGCGCGGGCGCGCGGCCGCGGTTGACGAGGGCCAGCTGGCGGCTGGCGGACTGGCCGCGGGGCACGGCGCCGAAGGACAGGGTGCGCTGGGAGGGGTCGGCCAGCTCCACACGCAGGAGCACGCCCTCGCCTGAGGCAGGAGCCAAGGTTGAGGTGAGGGTGCGTTTGACTTTGAAAGGTTACCGCCAATGGCTCGGTTGGGTGAGGAGCGGTGCAGGGAAGCTGTTGTCAAAAGTGATATAGCATCACACTCCCCTGGTTGGCACACTTGTGTGTCAATCTCCTCCATCTTTGTTCCAGCTGTCATATAGCTGTCGTGGAAGTATCTATAGAACCCCGGCTTTTGGATTGTCAAAGTCACTCACCCGCAATGACGATGTTGACCGTGTAAAGCCCGTTGACCCTGAGGGGAATCGTCTCGCGGCACGGGCCCGCCACCCGGGGCCTGAAGGTGACACACAAGTCGCGCGTCTCTCCTGGTAGCAGCACCACGGAGCCGACATCCACCTGCGCGCGGCATGTGTGCGGAGCAATCAATGGGATTAGCGCTGGGGGGGGGCTCGTCAGGCTTGAAGACGAGGGAAAAAGAACAAACCCTGCAGTTTTGTGTGTTTTGGGTTTGCAACACCCAGGGTTTGGGAGCTGGAATCACTCCTCAGATCCTCCAGGGAATAGGTGCTGAATCTCTCAAGCTTTGGAGGCGCCTGTTGCCCAGGCACCATGGTGGCAGGCAAGCATACTGGCAGGAGTGCTCCAGCTCACCGACAGGTGCTCCTTGTCGCCCCACAGGACCTCGAAGCTGACCGGCTGCGCGTCGTCGTTCTTCGCGCGCAGCACCGCCACCGCCGGCTCCATCCCCTCGCGCCACACGTGCACGGGGCCAAAGTCGTGGCTGTGGAACGAGAGGTTGAGGCGGGGGCGGTAGCCAGTGCCCTGCAGCACCAGCTGGTACTTGGGGCCGTTGACCACCTGGGTGCGCCGTATCATAGAAAGTTAGAGGCGGGTGTTCTATGGCATGAGGTCTGGGAAGTCACAGAGCAGCTATGTGATGTCGCATCGGTTCTTGATGCTTGATTTCAAAACAAAAAGGCACACCCAACACTTGACAATGACCAGACATTTGTCTGGCAAGAATCGGATGCAGCAACTGCATCTGCTGGTCAATCTCTCACCCACGGCCCCTAGCGTGCCGCCCACCTGGCAGGAGATCTTGTAGCCCGAGAGGCTGTTGGGAGCATGTGGGCTGTAGCCCAGCTCAAACACCACCCGCTCCCCCTGCGGCACAGCCCCGCGCTCCGGCCGCACCGCCAGGCGCGGGTTGGGGCCCAGGTCCCAGGCGTAGTCAAAGTTGACGACGCTCGAGTTGACCAGGTGCAGCGCGCGCACGGACCGGTCGTTGATGATGACCTGTGGCGTGGCGGCAGATGAGGGGGTGGGGTTGAATCACGGACTAGGTAGGTGTTCAAATGGATTGCCATAATCGCACGTGGCGGCATCGGCTGCGCGACCCATTGCACGAGCAGACGCTTTGCTGCAGCCGGCCACATCGCCATTCCCCAAGCACCCTGGCTGCCCCAGATCACCTGCCAGCGCCCACACCGGCGCCCACCTGGCCAAAGTCGAGCGCGTTGTCCCCCTGCGGCCCCAGCTCCACCAGCGCGCCGTCCGCCACCTCCAGGAGCAGCGCCGCCCTCAGCGCGTAGCCCTCGCCCTTGACGTTCAGGGACAGGGGCGTCGGCTTGCTGGCTACGCGGCAGGTGACGTTGTAGTTGAGGGCCTTCTCGGCCCGCGGGGCGAAGGTCGCCGTGATGTCCAGCTGTGTGTGTGCGTGTGTGTGTGTGTGTGATTTTGTGTGTGTATGTGTTGTGTGTTCGTGTTCGTGTGCAGAGGGAGGGATGTGAGCTTGAGTCTGTGTGCGTGTGTGTGTATGCGTGTGTATGTGAGTATATGTGTATGTGTGCGTGTTTGTATGTGAGTGCGTGCGTCTGCGTGCGTGCGCGCGTGTGCGTGTGTGCGTCCGTGCGTGCGTGTGGAGTGCGCGTGTGCGTGCATATATGTTTGTGTGGGTGTGTCGAACATGGAGTCAGGTGGGATCAAGTGCATGCTTTGACTTGCAAGCATGCGCTCATAGATTAGGTGACGCGCTATCATAACTGTACAACGCATGCTCATGTTGGTATGGCGCCTGCGTGGCCAATCATATGGCAACCCATGAGGTTTGATCGGCTTGGGGGCCATTGGCACCACTGCCAAACAGCCTATCTCTGCCTCACAGAAAACTGCAAACACCGCAACCTTGCCGCGCGCTGGTACCGTCCCGCTGTCTGGAGTGAACTCCACAACCGCACCGCCGCCCCCCGCTGCTGCAAGCAACTCCGGCGCGGCGTCGTACGTCGCCTTGGATAGCGCGAACGCAAACGGCACCGCCTCGTCGTTGACGATGGCCAGCGGCAGCTTCCCTCGGACGCCCAGCTGGACGCGTCCAAAGTTGAGGGAGGGGCGGTCGAAGGTGACCCGCGGCTCGCTGACGGCGCCGACGAGGAGGAAGGGGGCGGTCAGGGACTGGGAGGGGATGGAGAAGGTCCAGAAGGCCTCGCTGAGGGCGTCGTCAGCAGGGGTGTATTCGAACACCATCTCATAGCGCCTGCGGCGATTCATAGGGGAGGGGGTTGCGATAGGGCAGCGTTGATGTGACTGGCCGGAAACGGATTGATGGGCCCCATCACATCAAGGCGTTGCGCAGCTACCTAAGTGGTACGGCTGGATTCAGAGCCAACAGCCAGATCCCACACAAACTCACCTCCGAACCCAGGCATGCATCACACATGCAATGGCAACACAATGTAGGGATCGCCATCCCTGTTCCTCACCTGCCGCCACCGATGACGCCCCTGCGCGTCACGCATGCAAACGGCGACTCCTGCTTTACTGCTCCATCCGCCGCCGCCCCAGCACGCACGGCCGCGCCCGGCGCGGGTGCCCATGCGAACTCGTAGCTGATGGAGGTGGGGTTGAGCACGAAGAAGCGCTTGGTGTTGCGCACTCGGATTCCAAGCGACTCAAACTCCAAGACCTGAGGACAGAGTGTGGATCAAAGGAGGCACGAAGGAGGGCGAGGTGCTGAGGGCCGCCCAGGTGAAGTAAAGGACACTACAGCTCGTGCAGTTTGAGTGGGCAAGAGAGGCGCGAGCAGTTGCGCGACACCCAGGAGAACGCAGCTGTGGGCTATGTGTGAGCAATTCAGCGCTTTGCTGGTGCCATGCAAACCCGGCACCACCGCCGGCGCTCCCACCTTGGTGGCGGGGTCCAGCGGCTCGATGGCGCCGCTGGGGCCGGGCAGCTCCGGGTTGCGGCGGCCGGCGCTGACATAGTCGCTCTCGGGCAGCTCGAAGTGGCACCACGGCCGCAGCACCTGGACGCAAGCACGTCCGGTGGCAGGTGCCGTGGAGCGGCCTGACGAGCTGTCTGCTGGCAACTTTGGACGAGAGGATGCGAAATACTGGCAGGCCTGCCGCCCACCCTGCACCACAGTCATCATTCATGTACTGTTTGGCACCCCGAGGGACGACGAGTCTCAATGATTTGCGGGGCCAGCCCGGGCGACTGCTCACCTTCCCGTCGACCAGCCGCGTGAGCGGCGAGCACGATGGGTCGAGGTCGGCGATGTCGCAGGCCAGCACGCGCGCGCAGTCCTCCACCTCCACCGGCCTGAAGCGCAGCGCGACCTCCTGGGAGCAGCCGGCGGGGATGCTGCCGCTCTCCGGGGACAGAGTGTACACGCCTGCGGGGAGGAGAGGCAGTTGAGGAGGCCGGCACAGGTCGACACACAGCACGCACGCAGGTCTGAACCTCTGTAATGCAGTCTGCAGAGACGCCGGGAACATCTGCATGAATCGTGCGTCTTGTGACCTACAATCCATGGCTGCGTGATGCACGAAACGAGCGCGACGGAGCGCTGCTCGATCCCCACCTGACGCGTCGGCGTCGCCCCGCGGCGTCTCCACCCGCCAGGCGTAGTCCAGGCGCGTGAGCCCGGTGTTGGTCACGCGCAGGGCGAAGGTGCGGGCCTGGAACATCATGGTCGGGCGGAACGCCAGGCGGGGCGGCGCGTCGCACTCGTAGCGCGCGTTGTCGCAGGCCACGTGGACCTGCAGGGAGACACGGTAGTCAGCGCATGGGTGTGTTGGGAGGTTGGGGGGTTTATGCGGCAAAAGCACATGCAGGCGGTCATAAACCTGTGTGGCAACGGCGTACACACAGCTAGCAGTGTCAATATGAAATGACATGTTGCCGCGCGAGAGCTTGACAGAGTGAAGCGTGCCTGTTTTCCAAGGGGTCAGTAGGGCTTGCGCAGCACGGACACCGGCAGACACTAGCCCATCTCTGCGCCGCTGTACTTGGGATCTGCCTGGAAATCATCCTACCAGACCCAGCAAAGCGCCTTACCTTCAGGATCAGATCCTTTTGCGTCTTGGGGACAACATCGTGCAGCGGCTCCCCACCCGGCAGCGCCGCCGCAGCCGCCGCACCACCAGCCCCGCCCGCCGTGCTGGCCCCGCTCCCCCGCACGCCCGCCTTGCCGCCCGCACCGCTCCGCATCGCAGCCGGCGCGGGACCGCCCCGTGGCGTCGTGGGCGCAGGGGCGTTGGGCGCCGACGCCGCAGTAGCCGCCGCCACGGCCGCAGCCGTGGCCGCGATGACGTCATCCCAATCGGCGGGTTGGCCCTTGTATTGAATCTGCGCCACCTGGAGCCGCAGCTCCTGCCCGTCCAGCTTCAGCGGCGCGGCGCTGAGGAACGTGGCCGTCACCCGCTTGGTGGCCCCGGCCAGGAGGTGGCCGACAGCGGGGCTGAATTTGACGTGGGGGTTCTCAGGCCACTTGAACCTGCCAAAGGAAGCAATTTCAGGGTTTGCGGGCTCTGTCGGGAATCTTCGTATGCCAGCAAGAAAAACCAAGCCCATCTGACAGCATGTCACGCAGTGCGCACAGATTGTTGCAGCATCGGTCTCAAAAGCAAACACCACTAGCAAGGCTCAAACCCAGCACAGTCAGGGCCCGCAGTGCCCACCTGAAGTGCTTCCCCTCGCTGCGGTTGGTCAGCGAGAAGGACGCAATCGCAGGAGTTGCCAACCGCACGTCTCCCAACTGCAGCTCGTCCAGGCTGCCGCCCGGCAGGCCGTCCATTGTCAAGTCTTCCTGAAGTGGGGGCCAGGTGGGCAGGGTTGGGAGGATGGATCAAGCTGTGATTGGCCCGGGGGGGGGGGGACGAGCCGCGTGCGGTGGCAGCGACTGCTGCCTGATGAGGTGACAATCTCTAGGCAAGAGAGGGTCCAAGGTTGCGTTCGGAGGATGCAGGCCGCCTGCTGGGCCCAGTACATCAGACATGTTTGTGCCTGCTGGTGGCACCAAGGCTGTGCCAGGATTACTGCAGCATCGACGATGATGCCAACTGGGGCACCACCTGGCCAATGCGTGCTGCTGAGTAAGAAGCGATCCGATGCCCCCCTGCCCTGCGCTCCCGTGCCGCACACCTGCACACACTCCCCTGTGAGTGCCAGCCGGTGCTGCTCAAAGGGATTTGATTTGACGCGCAGCGCCATCTCGTGAGCAAACAGCCCGGCAGTGCGCGGCGCGAACTGCACCGTGAACGTCGCCGCCTTTTTGGGCTCCACTGAGAAGGCCTGCAAAGATGAAAAGCACATCACGTCTAATAATCGGGGGAAGCACCGCCAGCAACAGCTCACATTTGAGAAGTGGGCAGCCAAGTCAGCGACGGCATCAGTGGCAGCTCCATGCCCGTGGTCTGAGAGGGTCCCTGGAGCCAGATGTGGCCCAGGGAAGCAGCCCCCGCGGCCGCACAGCTGCCCACCCTCACGCACCTGCGGCCCCTCCACTACTGTAAACGCGTCGTGGCGCTCCATCTCCAGCCGCGCGCTGACCGGGAGCACCCCGTTGTTGCGCACGTTGACCAGCAGGGGCGCCGCGTGGCCGCGCATCAGGCGGCCAAACTTGAGCCAAGGGCGGCCCGCAGAGTCAAACACCGACGGCTCCTGCACTCAATCGTCCAGTTTCACAATCAAGATGGTGTTTGGTGATTGAACAGACAGTTGGTTCAATGTTGTGTTGGTTGATTGGTTCGTTGGTTGATAAGTGGGTTGGTTCGACTTTCATTCCAGCCAGCACAACATTATTGTTGCTCCAGCAAGAAATCAAGGGACGCAAAGGTGGATTCCAAAACCTGTCAGAAAGGGCTGCAAGGAGCGAGCAGCTGGAGCGCGGCGCCACCGCTCCTCGCCGCCGCACCTGCAGCGCCAAGCTGGGCAGGCTGCCCTCCCCGCGCAGGTCACAGGTGAAGGCGCGCGTCCTGGGGTCACTGCCGCCCTCCACCTCTGCAGTGAAGGAGGCCGCGTACGCCTGGATTGCTCGCGGCGTGAAGTGCAGCGTGACATACCTGCGCGGGTGATGGCCGGGGGTAAATACTGTTGGGTCGGGGGCTGAGCAGGATGGCTGTGGTCACAGGCGCTGCCGGGTGCCCGGCTGGAACTCAGGCTTCAATGCAGACATAGCTTGCGCCTGGACGAAGCAGGCCACGTCCTGTCTGCCAGACGCCCGGGCTTCACAGGCATTACATCAAGATATGCCCGCTTTCAGGCCTGCCACCCGCCCTACGTCACACACACCCTGCAAGCCGCCCCGCCCCGCACCTGCTTTCATTGGGCGGGATGGTGATGCTTGCGGGGTGCACCTCCATAGGAAAGACCTGGCCCGGCAGGTAGCTGCCCCTCGGCTTCACCGTGAAGTTCACGGTGCAAGGCACCTTGACTGGGTTGGTGAATTTCAGGTTGGCCTTGACGGCGGGCTCCTCGGCCGCCGCCGCGGTGCTGCCAATCGTGCCCCGCTGCTTGAGCGACAGCGCTGACACCAGCTCAGCCGACACAGCCACTTCTCCGGCCGCCGCTGCGCCGCCGCCGCCGGCAGCCTTGCCTTTGACAGATCCCCTGGCACCAGCCGCCTGCTTAGGGCCGCCCTTCGCGTCTGCCCTGGGCGCGCCCGGCACCGCGGCGGCGCCGCCAGCGGCTGCCGTTGAGGCAGCTCCCGTCGACGCGCCCGGCTCCGGCAGGCGGGCGATGATGGTCCCAAAATCGAAAACCTGCAATTTGGCACACAGGCAATGAGGTATCCAGGTATAGTTGTGGTGTCCAGGTATTTCAGTGGCTGGCCGTCCCGGCCCGACCCGCCTCGCAACGTGGGGTGGCAGGGATCACACAGTTGCCTCTGGCGCCAGCTGTGTCTGGAGCCATGGGTCAGCGCACCTTCTCCCTCAGGCCGAAGCTGTTGTTGACGGGTGCAAAGGGGTCCAGGTGCGCCAGCACCATGTGCTCCTCGAATATGGCTGCCATGTTCTCTGTGTCGATGCCTGTGGGGCGCGGGCGCGGCGGGAGGGG